GTGTTGCGTCCCTTTGTGGTCGTTGTGCGTCTTTCTGTGCTACTTTTTCAGGCTCAGTGTCTGGACTTACACCACGGAGCAGGCGTAGCAGCCCGGCTTGCTGCTGTCTCGGACCAGGAAGGTTCCGTCCTTCTTGCCTCTCAGCAGAGACTCGGCCTGGCTGCGGTTGATGTTCCCCAGACGCCACAAGCGCTCGTCGTGGTGAGGAAGGTCCTCCTCATCCTCCACCGTGCTGTACTCGCTGAGGGGGAGAAGAAGCTCCGTCAGAGGTTCAGCCGCTTCATACCAACCACAGAGACGTGTTGTGCTAAAAACATGAGCTGGAAACCCTAAAGACGGACCTCGGCCTACAATCCATTTTATTCTGTAACTAAGGACAGTGACCTTTACTTATAACATAATTAACCCGGTTTATAACGCTCTGGAAAGATCCGTCCTGTCTACATGTGGGATTATTTATAACTGTAATTAATCAAGTTATCGCTGGTTAATGTACGACTCTCATCATCATCATCATCATCCTCCTCCTGCAGGTATTTAACAATCTCAGAGGAAACAGTCCTCGACAGCTGGAAGCGTCAAACTGCACCTGAACCCCTGTTTGTTAAAACCTGGATTACATTCACTGTCGGTGTGTCTCATTACCGTAATGTCCGGACTATAAGACGCTACTTCTTTCTCACACTTTGAACACAGCGGCTTAAACAGCGATGCGGCTAATTTATGGATTTTAACGAATTCACCTCGAGACCAAAGTGAGAGACTGAGGAAGAGTATGACCAAGTGATTCTGAGGCTGTTCAGCTCCTGAAGACACTGAAGAAGACGACTTTAGTGGTTTTAGTGCAGGAGGAAGATGAAGATAGCCATCAGTGACTTTTCCTGGTAGCTGCTGGAGTTTTAATTCCGTAACCAGTCGTGTTACAGGAAGTGTTCAGAAAAAAGTATTTGTGTACGTCACCGGTACGTATTTAACTAAAAGTTAAAACATCTTCCTGTGTAAATATCTCATGTTCCAACGTGGACACCTGCAGCTTAGAGACAAGTGCAGCCTGTAGATGTACACACCTGGTTTCTTTTTAAAGTCAGTGGGCGTGGCTTATATTCAGGTGCTCAATAGTCTGGAATTTTCAGTACTCTGACCTGTTCCAGCCTCTGTCTTCATGGCAGTTTAATCTGATGTTTACGGACATGTCAGTGTGCAACCAGGCGTTTTGAAGTCTGAGCGGACACTTACTCCTCGGTGGTTTCGTTCTTCAGATCCAGCCACTCGTTCAGCTTCCTCTGTCGGACTCCCTTCTGCGTCAGCCACCTGAAAAACACAAACACCGTTAGACCACGGCGCTGCGAGGCGGCGCTGCGTGGCGGCGCTGCGTGGCGGCGCTGCGTGGCGGCGCTGTGAGGCGGCGCTGCATGGCGGCGCTTCGTGTCCGGCCGTCTCTTACATGAGGTACTGGTCCCTGGTCTTGCGCAGCTGGATCAGGTCCGGCTTGATGCTGTTCATCTTCTTGTCTATCTCCCTGTAGTCGGCCGCCTGCTTCTTCAGGTCCACCTCCAGGTGGCGCTTGCTGTCCACGATCTCGCTGATCCGAGACTTGAGCTTGTCGTAGTTCTCCATGATCCTTCAGAGAGACAGGAAAAGAGCCGATGAGGATTTATAATGAACAATCTCCTGTGTGGTTCTGAGCTTCTCTAGTTATTTCATTTTGTCTTCTGGTAGCAAAGTGCTCGAGTTCCACATTTTTAGCCTGTTTTTTAATTTTAATGTACTGGTTTTTGTATTTTCTGGCATCAAGTTGCTCGATTTTCACCGTTTTTAGAATTTTTTTGGTATCTTTAAAAAAAATCTGTTTTGTATTTTTAGTGTATTGTTTAATGTATTTCAAGGATTTACGGACTCTATTTGTCACGCTGGCTCACATTCACATGTTCGTGGTACGAAACTATACTCAGGTCCCGTTTAAAAAAACAAAAAAAGATAAGTACAAAAAACGAGCAGAATACAAGTAAAAACACAGCAATATAAGTGTAGTAAGACAAATACATAGAAATGTTAGAGGAGAAAGACACAATTAGTTGTGTTTAGCGCTGAATATTTGTGTAGCAGTGAGCTAGATTGTGTAATATTGCAGTTCGTTGATTAAATATATGTGCACTATATATATTTCTTCTGGTATCAAGGTGCTCAATTTTCACCGTTTAACAGCTTTTTTATTTAAATTTTATTTTTAATGTATTGTTTTTAAAGTATTTTTTACAGCTACAAGCCCGCATGGCAGATAAATGACTGCTGCTGAAAACGAGCAACACTTGAAGAAAGAAATATCTTAAAACGTCTTATTCAGGTTGATCAGATCCAACACATTCCTCCATCCGGACAGAACCGGCAGCATGACTGGACGATAAACTCTCTGACACACCAGCAGGTGGTTTCCTCCTGCAGGCTCTGCTGCCATGGCAACCAGGCATCCTTCATACATACATATATATCTGTCTCTCTGTGTGTGTGTGTGTGTGTGTGTGTTTTTAAAGGTGTCTGTCATCGCCATGGTAACAGCCCACCTCTGGATCTCCTTGTCGTTGCCCTCGCGGCGGAACTTCTCGATGTACTCTTTGCTGAAGCGCTCCTGCGTCTGACACTGCTCCTCGAAGATCTTGATGGTCTCGTTGAACGCCTCGATGGCCGTCCTCTTCATCTGGATCTCCTGGAGGGACAAAGAGACGAGGAGGATGAAGAGGAGGATGATGGTGACAGGGAAGTTTAACTGGCTGATGTGGGTTTTATCGATGCTGATTGCTGGTGATCAACACCAGTGTTTGATACTTGGAGCAGCAGCAACCGGTCATTCATAACCAGGAGTACTGTAATGTAAACATCGAAGCATCGCGTGACGCTACGCTGCTCTCCTGTGAGACCAGCAGATCAGATCAATAACAGCCTGCCTCCTGCCGAGTAATCTGTGGCGGCCTCCTAACTTAGCCACTAGCCGTTAGCGTAGCATTAGCCACTGTTTGAGCTTCTTGTTCAGTTTGTGAAGGTCGTGTCTCTGCTCGGCGATGGGGGTCGGCCGATCACCGAGGCACATATTTGGCATTTTCTAATTATTTTTAATCGATAGATCATGTCTGACTAAATCAGCTGCTTCGGCTCTGATGCAGCCACGTGTCTCTCTGCAGTCGCTCTGTGGTCCCTGCAATGCCCCGCCCCCTGCTTTCTGATTGGTCACAGGTGATGAGCAACATCCAATCACTGAAGGTTGTTGTTGACGCAGAGGGACAGACGAGCTGAGGAAGGTGAGGCGGCACAAGTTTTAACAAACAGTTAAAATGAAAAAACGTTTTCTTGTTTTTCTGTTTATGGTATATGACAAAAAAATACATTAAAAATGGGCCACTTTTCTTGTTTTTTGTTTGTCTTCCACAAACATTCCCAGTTACACCTGCAAACACCTCAGTGAGTCCGTAGCTGGTGTCTGCTGACGGCGCTAAGCTAATGCTACCACCAAAATGTCAGCTGTGCCTCTTAGCTTGTGGCTAACGCTGCAGCAGAGCCGTTTAATTTAACTGGTGAGTAAAAACAACAACAATCACTGCTGTGTCTCCTGAGTGTACCTGTGACGTCCTGGTGTACTCCTCGTACAGCCGGTCGTACTCTCGGTTCTTCTCCTGATACTGCAGGTGATACTCGTGCAGCTTCTTGCCCACAGCCTCGATGCTGTCCTCCTTCACCACCTGATCCTGAACAACAACAACAACAACAACACGACCAGTCAGACGAGTCGACGACCTCGAGCCGGTGAGTTCTGCTCGGGGAGGCCGGACAGACCTGCTGGTGTTTGGACACCGGGTACAGCAGCTTGACGTCCAGCTTGGGGTTGTACTGGGCCAGAGACTCGTGCCGGTAGTGGTTGATGAGCTCCACCACCGAGCTGAAGGTCAGGGGGTCGGAGAAGCCGTACTTGCCCTCGCGATGGAAGATCTTTATCAGTTTGTTGTTGCCTCCTTTCCTGCAGACGGGCAGAGAAGCAGCGAATGAACACTGTTTGGACAACGAGCAACGAAATGGTGAAAAGAACCACAGAACACACCAACATGGAGGCCGTTTTTTAAAGATTGTCTTCAGTTAAAATTAGATTTTGCAGAAATAAGAACAAATCTGAAAATAAAAAAGGTTTGTGGCAGCAGGATGAAGCAAGCAGAGACAAGATGAATCTGTTATTGTGAACCTGAACCTGTCATGAGGTTAAACTGATTTTGAGCAGTTGTCACTTATAATGTAAACCCAACGTTTAGCACAATAGTTCAAGTGGAGCAGTTTAAAATCAGATCCTTTAAATTCAGTTTGTAGCGGATGTGTGTCAGTAAATCCATTTTAAGTCTCCTTGTTTGGCCACTGCTTGCAGAATTTTAAAACCTAATTAATGAAGCACAGGTTCAAACACAATTTCAAAGCAACGAAATTCTTGTGATTCAAATTTAATTCATTATTTAAACGTACACGCACAATGTCAAATTGTGTGATTACAATTGGATTTTTAATACAATTATTCAAGTTTAACTGCAGAAAATGAAATAGAAATGATCTGCACTGAGTTGCAAGGAGCACGTGTGTCTCAGTAAATTAAATCCCAAGAACTGATCTAGAATTTAAAAACTAAATATGATAATATACAAGAAGAGAGGGGGACTTTTAGTGAGGATTTAAATTATGTGATTTCACTCAATTTTTTATTGTAATTATTTACATTTAAAAATACAATTAAAATGTATGTGATTCAAATTTAATCTTTTTATACAATTAAAGTTAAACTATCCATTTCTATACACCGATTAATCCTCATTAGGGTCATGGGGGGTGGAGTCTATCCCAGCTGACTCAGGGTGAAGGCAGGTTCACCTGGACAGGTAACCAGTCTATCACAGGGCTACACTTAGAGACAGACAACCAAGCACACTCACATTCACACCTACGGACAATTTACAATCACCAATTAACCTCAGCATGTTTCTGGACTGTGGGAGGAAGCCGGAGAACCCGGAGAGAACCCACGCTGCACGGGGAGAACATGGAGACTCCACGCAGGAAGATCCCGGGTGTCCTCACCGGGACGTGAACCAGCGACCTTCTAGCTGTGAGGCAACAGTACTGACCAACTGCGCCACCTTGCAACCAGTTAAACTATAGAAAATCAAATGACTTGAATCTAGTTTCTAGTTGCACATATTTCTACCAGTATGGACGTCTCAGTAAACTAAATCTGAAATATTTAATTAGAATTTTAAAAAAACTCAATAAAAAAGTATAGAAAAGGGGAATTTTCAGTTTCAAATTGATGTTTAGACAATTATATGAAAGTTAAACGTCAGGAATTGAATATGAAAGTTTTAAATTCAGTTTGCAGTTGCACATATTTCTGCCACATCCACACTGTGGCCCTTTAACCCTCAGAGGTCCACCGTCACGCCGGCTCGATGTAATCATGACATGTTTGAGACGTCAGAAAAACTAGCACATGTATGTGGATGTCGTTAACTTCCCTCTAAAGTGCAGACTTTAAACTCTCCTCCAGGTCTTGTTTCATGTCGATAGACCACATAAGACCGGAGACATGATGTCATGAACGTGCGTGAAAAAAAATATCAGCGTATGAAATACAGACTGCAGGCCTCAACGGCGCCATCATGTGTTGTGACGGACAAAAAGCAAAAGAAGTCTGTGGAAGTGCAGCTCCTATAATGTGGCCGTCTGCCTCATTCTGGACAGAAACTATGTTCAGGAGTGGAAGAGATGAAAGCAGAAAGAAGACCTCACCTGCTTTGTATGTTGCTGACCTTTTCATGTTCATATCTGCCCCCTATGGGGACATCTTCAACCTTCAAAATGCTTCCATGAGCAGGTTTGTGTTTTTATTGTCATAAATTACACATTTCTTCAAATCAGATTTTGTATTTTTGTGTGTTTTTGAGCCCAAAATGTTAATATAGTAGGTCAAAGTGAAAAAATAACAGATCATATTGGTGATGTGCTGAATAAAAAGACAATCGTCGTGTTGAAGCAACGTACAGAACACCCGAGGCCGAGACGCTTACCTCAGAGTCAGGGTGTAATCTCCGTGCATCTTGGTGGAGGCGTCTCGGACCAGAAACGTACCGTCGGCGGTGTCCCTCAGCTTCTCGTTCACCTCCTCTCTGAAAACACACAAACGCACCACGTCAGCCGAAACCCAACACGCCTCAACGGTTCCGCCTTCAGTCGCCGTGCGTTACCTGGAAATGTCTCCCCAGTACCACTCGGCGTCCTGCAGCGCCATGCTGTTGTTGAAGCTGCTGGAGGGTGCCGGAGTCGGGGGCTTCACGGGTTTGGGAGGTAGAGCTGGAAGAGGAAAGAGCAGAGGATTAAAAACGAGGAGGACTCGCTTCTCATCAGAGTCTGTCTGAGGAGGAGTCATTAAAGCGAAGCCGCCGATGAGTCAAAGCTTCTGTTCAACCCTCTGGACCTGATCGTTTTTGTTCTCGGCTCATTTCTCCTCACGGTCAGGTGGTTCTGGTTAGTGGGACCAGTTCGACACTGGTCCGCCCACAAACCGAGTTCCTCCTGGTTAGAACCCAGAACTGAGGTTCATGTTTGTCTGCAGCATCAAGTCCTGCAGCTCTGAGGAACCAGAACATGAAGGAGGAGAAAGAACTCAGAGACGTCGTCTGTCTGCAGGAGGCAGTTACGACACAAATATGGAGAAAAAAAAAAACATTTCTTGGATTATTTATTTTACAAAAATAAAAAAAATAAAAAAAAACCTGGAATCCACGCGTCCACCGGGTGTCCACCGGCTGCACTCATGGTGGCTCAACATGCTGCGGTTTGATTCTACCTGTGTTTTTATCTGACTCCACACTCGTCTGGTCTCTGCTCTGTGGGAACGCTGGCTGCAGTTCTGCCCAAACGTCACCGAATGTCTGACTTCTGTCCGACCCAGAGTCACCAACAGCTTCTCAGTGGAGATTTTTGTTTATTACATCGTTTGTTTATTGTAGTGATGCACGATATTAAGATTTCTGGCCGATACCGATATTAAGATTTCTGATATCGCTGATAACCGATATCACCGATGTCGATATTCGATTTTTGTTCACACCAAAAAATGAGTATCAGGAAGCACTGTGAGTAAACTATTGAGAAGAAATTAGACCACATGGTCTTCTTCATTAGGACCATTTAGGTAAAAACACCTGTGAACAGCAGCGATATATCGGAAAAACCACTGATATCGGCCGATACCGACGTGGTCGCCGATACATCGAGCATCCCTAATTTATTGAAAATACAATTTTTTTGGGGGGGGAGGGGGGATTTTTTATTTTTTATTAGATGAGACAAGTAGAAAAACGTGATTTGGATGAAATATTACAACTGCAGCTTAGATTTAATACATTTTTCCAATGAAGCTGAACGCCTCACACGAGGACTTCAAGGACCATCAGGAAGCTAAAGAGTCGCTGACGGCTCCTCCGGTGGGCCGAGGAGCTCAGTTCTACCCAATCGGGTGCAAAGAGTTTAGTTTTCGTGACATTTGTGAGCGAGAATAAAACGATTTGACGTCATTTTACAGCTGAAGTCACACATGTTGAGTTCAAAGACCGTCTGTTGCTTCTTTCTGTGTTTTTACAGTTAAAGGCTGATAAATAGCGTCATTGTCGTGACTTTTCTAACCTGTCGGCAGGTTTTGGGGGTTTCAAGCAGCATCTGACTCTTAGATCAAGAATTACAGCAAACGAGACGCCGCAGAATGTTTTCAGTGTTTAGACAGAAACTACAGAAATGGTTCAGTCATCAGGTTCAAAGCGAACTGCTCGTGAAGCTCAACCCTGGAGCTGAACTGTTCTTGTTTCTAATTACCTGAAGAAATAATCAAGTCTAGAAAGAATAAAAAAGTGGCTCTACATCCTGGACTGTTTATTATCTGTGTTCCTTTTCCCCGACACTTGTCTGCAGGTCAACCTGACGGCGTCTCAGCTGCACAGAACTGATTTATTTTCATTTACAGCAAATTCTCATGAATCCTCGTGATTTCAAGCTCTGAGTTTTTTTCCGACTAAACTGAAAGTGAAACATGAAGAGCTGGAGGAGCATCTGAAACTATTTCTTCTATTTTATAGTGTCTAAAGGTCTAGTTATTTGTGTTCTTTTTTAATGAACATGCCTTCAAAGCTGCTGGCAGGTTCAGGAGGTGTTTCTCTGGACCCATCGTCTGGTTTTCTGTTGTAGGTTAAAATCAGAGAAACAAAAAACGGGTCTTTTTTTTTATAGTTTTTAGTATAAAGGTCCGTTTTCTCCTTTTAGGCTCCTCAGCAGAAGGTTTTTTGATTCTGTTTTTGGTTTAAAATTGAAAAACAACATTTATTTGTTTTTTCCATTTATGGTATAAAACTGAAAAATTGAAAAGTTTCCCCTTTTTTATTTGTTTTTTTGGAATAAAATAAAAGAAACTTATTTTCTTATTTTTTAGTTTTTGGTACAAAATAGAAAAACAAAAAAAGGGCCCGTCATCTCATTATGTATTCTCTATTTTGGTGGTTGTTGGTTGAAAATGGTAAAAACTAAAAACGTGGCAGTTTACCTGTTTTTGTTTGTTGTTGGTTTAGAATGTAAAACTGTTTTCTTGGTTTTGTGGTTTAAAACACGTCCACCGTTCCCTCACACATCCTCCTTCAGGTTGATAAAAACAGACCAACAAGCAGAAGCCTGCGACACATTTGCAGCTGAAATTAAAATTCAACTTCACAAAATGGCTCGGGGCGCCGCGGCGGCCATCTTGCCAGGTGTCCCGTCCGGGTTCCGGTCCGAGCTCCTACCTGGACTCTGCATGTTGATGTAGCAGAGGATCCTGTCTCGGCGGGCCGGCGGCTCGGCCTCGGCTCGGCCTCCCTGCTCTCGATCCATGCCGGACTCTGAACCGTCACCCGCCTCCACAAAGACTCAGAGGAGAAACTGAACCTTCCTTTCTGGGTCTCATGCTCTGCTGCGATCCCATCCAGCCTCCGATAAGAGGACACTACATCTTCCTCACTGAGCCTCTTTTTTGTTCTAAAAAAAAAATCAGCCCAATTCCTGAGATGGTCTCTGCAGCGCTGCAACCTGCAGGATCTCTTATTCAGCTGCTGCCTGCTCCGTCTTCTCCGTCTTCACCTCTGCAAACCCTCCGTCTCCGCTCTGTGCAGGTGTCTGTCTTCGGCGATGAGAAATTTAAAACGACGCAACTTTCTCCCGTCGCCTCCCTCCGCCTCTCTCAGCCTCGGTTCAAAGCTCAGGAGAGCAGCTTGGAGATGTGTGACATCACCGCCGCCCCCAGCCAATCCCGCGACGGCAGTGATATCACCGAGGCAACGCCCCCCTCCCCTCCCTCCTCTGCTGCATCTCCGTGGCCGGATGATGTCATCGTTTCAGCTGCCTGACTCAGAGCGCATGAATCGCCGGGCGACTGGAGGCTGAATCAGAAGCTGCTCATTGACCCGCTGCGCCGGTCCGATCGCTCAGAGCGTGAGGCTGCACTTTGGTCCGCCGCTGAACGCTGCAGAGACACACGTCTGACGTTCTGCCAGCGACAGGTTTAACGGCCAGGTCCATTTATTTAATCACCAAAATTACACCATTTATCAGAAACCGTGAAAACCGAACAACCATCAGGTCACATGAACTCCTCCTGTGAGGCCAAATCAGAGCCTCAACTGTAATATTTTCTCACTTCATTTCACTCGTCTCATTTAAAAGAATATCCCTCAAAAGAAATCATTTGCATGAAACTAATTATGTAAAAACTCTAAAATTTTGTGTTCCTCCACAAACAGAAATGGAAATATGTGGAGCATGTGCAGACAAACCTGCACTAAAGACACACAAACCAACACAAATGAGACACAAAACTAGAGAAAAGAGCAAAAAAAAGAGGCTGTACAAATGTAAATAGTTAAAGCCTGCAGCATGTAGAGCCACCAGTTGTTCCTCCATCGTTAGAAAAATGCTTTAAATGTAACACAAGCTTTCTTCTCATGTCTGTCTCTGAGTTCTCTCCTCCTTCATCGTTTTGTTTTCCTAAAGCTGCAGGACTTCATGTTGCAGAGTTCAGAGGTTCAAACATGTTTATCCTCCAAAACTCATCGTTCCTTCAGCCCAGATTCTCCTCTGATCAGAGTGTAGCCACACAAACTGACAGGAAGTCTTTTATTCTGAAGTTTCCTGACTTCCTGCCTCTCTGTGATGTCACCTGTGGTCGTGTCGTGTCTCGGAAGTCTTTTATTCTGAAGTTTCCTGACTTCCTGCCTCTCTGTGATGTCACCTGTGGTCGTGTCGTGTCTCGGAAGTCTTTTA